TAACTCCCTGTGGTGTGTTTTTTGTTGTTGTTGTTGTTTTTTTTTGTTTTTTTTTTTTTTTTTCTTTAAGGGCAGGGAACAATTAAGTTTATATATACTGTTCTTTTTGAAGGTTGGACTTTATATGTATATAAAAATAGGTACCGTTGATAATTAGCAGCAATAATTAGCAGCAATGCAGCAATATAATTTAAAAAAAGAGTCATTCAAGTATGTTAAGTACCTAAGAGGAAAACGAGGCAAAAAAAGCATTTGAATCTTTCTCTCTGGTATATATAAAGCAAGCAGGCAAACCCATTATTGTTCAGTAAATGCTTTATCTTATCAAAGTATAATRATGTTCACTAGCTCATTGGATTCTACTGCATCTCTTGAGCTTGTGGATTTTATGGCTAAATAGATTTGTTATTTTTGCCAAAGAGATACAATTATTTTATCTTCCAATTGAACAGTAACATTTTAAAATTGAAGTAACTGAGAATGCCAGTCCCTAAAGATAGTATGCATTTTAGAAGAGAAAGCATTAATAATTATGATTATTTGTGAATTTGCCACTAGAATATTATTCATTTTTCTTTTTTTTTTTTTAACATTGGCTTTTGTGTTTGAGTTGTATATTTTAGGCTTGGCAATGAAAAAAGATTATTTTGAGTCAAAATTATCACATAGGTCATTCTTTTTATTTGCTTTTCTTCAGTATAGGATAAAGCAGTGTTAACCAGCCCTTAGTCTTTTGCTTCTGACCTGAGTCACACCCATCTGATAACGATTTTCAAAAGAACTTCTTTTTTTCCTTCTTAAATTACTACCTTTGAAAAATAAATCTTTGTTTATAGCATTTAAATCTTTAAATATGTATTCATGGGGACGAGAAGGCTGATGAACAGGAAATAGAGGGAAGTCCTCTATAATGCAGCACTACTGAAACTGTATTTTACATAACCCGTGTATGTAACTGTGTCATTCCAGGCAGTGGATTCCAGTGCACACAAGGAAGTATTTGCAGAAGAGCACTAGTTTTCCCTAGTCACGCTCTTAATTATCTGTATTTTCACTTCTAAGGGGAAAGGAGGAACGAAAAATCACTCTGGCGTTTGCTGGTAGTGCAGTCGAAGGATCTTCTCCCCCTGCCCTTGCCCTCTTTCCTTCCTAGACACCAGGTGCAGGTTCCAGTAACGGCCCCAGCATCACTGTCCCTGCTCCGGCCTCGTGGCTGCTCTGGGGCTGCTGCGTGACCTCCAGCAGGACACGGGAGCCTGAGCGCTGCCCCAGAGCAGAGCCTTTCTGCTGGTGTCTCACGGACAGGCTGCCCCCCTGCCCTGCCCTGGCCGCGGGGCTCCTGCGCCGTCCCCAAGCGGCAGCCGGGGGCACAGGGGAGCAGTCGCCCAGAGGAGCTGGGGCACAGGGAGGCCCGAGGGCCCGGCCGGGCTTCCCGCCACTTGCAGCTCTGTCCCCAAGGGCTTCCCGCCCTGGGAAGYGTTCCCACTGGGCATTAGGGCGTCGGGAAAGCGACCAGAAAGCGGCCGGATTTGCCGCCTGCGGTGGCCGYGCTGCAGCTGGCGAAGGCTGCGGTCCGGGCTGACGTGTCTGGTCCTCACTCACAGGGGCAAGAGTAAAGGCCCCCAAGCCCCGTGTGCCCCCAGGCTCTGGCTGTGTTGCACGAGGAGATTTCACTTCTGCCCAGGCTGTTTGCCTGTCCACTGAGCTCTGGATAGACTTCCAGAACTCAAATTTGTGTGTTCTTCTTGGATTTAGTAACCATGGATGAACCTGTCTTCTTTGCATTGGTTCATGTGCATTTCGAACATGCTTGTAGTTCGTGCCARTGAGTTCCACAGTCAAATTTTGTGTTGTCACAATTATATATACTTGTATGTATGTACATACATATATAYATTTACTTTCTTTTGTTAGTTTCTGATGTGTCCCATTTGTGTTCGTGTTCTGTGCTTTCTTAGGAAATAAATAATGGATAATGGCTTCCTGCTGACCTTGCCAGCTGTGAAGCCCTCCATGTGCCCCCCACTTAGCTGCCTCCCGTCAGTCGGAAGCCTCCCAGTTTGTCTGCTCCTTCCCTGCACACGAACCCTGCCCCCTGCTTTGCACCTTGTCCGGTTCTTTCCACCCTGTGGAGACGGGTGGCCGGAGCTTGTAGCCACGTGTAAYGTGAGGATGCCCCTCGGGTTGATGCTCAGCGCTGTGACCGTGTTCTCTGTTTTCTCTGTTCCTTCATGACGGTTCCTGACTTTCTCTTTTTGGCTGCCACTGAGCCACCCGCYCACAGAGAGAGAGTTGCCCCAGTGCCTGCAAGGTCTCTGTCCTGGGTGAGACAGAACTAATTCAGAGCCCACTGTGGTGTCTCTATAGGTAGGGTGGTGTTCTGCTGTCTGCATCCCTTTACCTTATGTCAGCATTGGATACCATGTTCCTTGTGCACTCAGAATCTCTGCAGGGTTTTCTTTGCAGCTCCTTTTACTTTGTCTACCCTCATCTTTATTACTGCTTTTGATGCTCATGCTTTATCACTGCACTGTTCACTCCCTTGTCCGGATCACTTTACAATTAGCAGAGCAGACGCTGGTAACCTTCCTCCGTTGTGAAAAGTGKCTGTTTCCTGCCTTTCAGTCAGTTATGGGAAGCCCTGTAGGACCTTCCCTCTTAATTCTTGCCGTCTTAGCTTCCGCCACAGCTTTGATGAAGGTCCTGCTCTAAGGTGTTTTGGAGAGCACGTTCACTCTGAGCTCAGACACTTTTACCCATTTTCTTAATAACTCATTCAGTGACCTGTTGCAGATCTGGGAGGCAGGACTTCTGTCAAACAAAAGACAAGTTGATCCTTCACCAGTGTATCCCATTTGTCTGTATATACTTTATATTCCATGTACCTGTGGCTTCACTGAGCGTCACAGCTCTAGCAGGAAGCGCCATCCCTCCCCATGTCCTTGCCCAAGGGAGCTGCGCCCCACGTGTGCGTGGGGAGCGGCTGCCCCACCGCTCCGTGCAGCCATGGGCAGTGGAGCGGCCCCCGGGAAGCCCCCGGTACAAAGCTGTTGCCGGCCTGTTCCTCTGCTCCTGATCCRGGCACCAGAAAGGCAGCGGATTTGGAGAGGCCTCCGGCTGCCAAGTGCGTGTTCGTGCTCCCTGCCTTTCCTGTTGATGCAGATACCCGAGCTATTTTGAGATGGCACGGAAAGGAGAGTGAATTGATTCTGGCTTTATTTTGGAAAACTTAACTTTAACGATAGCTTTAGGGATAGAAAATTAAAGCTGCTTTTAGGCACCATGTGGGTTTTATTTCCTCCATCTCCATTTCCTCCTGCATTTCATTGGCAGAACATCACGGTTTGTTTTCAAACTGCAGTTTCCTTACGTGCCTTACAGTTCTTGCCTTTAGAAATGACCTCTTAAATACAAACAGCATGATATACCTGTGTCAGAATTGGTTGTGCAATGTGGCATCAAAAATCAGCTGCTTGATAAAAATATTTAAGAGAAAGTATTTTATTCCTTAAAAAAGTGCAGAAAACTTACAGGGGAAAAAAAAACAGATTTAAAAAAAATACTATGTGAAGACTATTCTGGTTCTCTCTTTTGTATGGTTTGTTGTTAAAAGTAGGAAAGTAGGATAGAAACCCAAAGTGGGATTGCCTGTACAGCCTGGAGAAGTTCTGGGGAACTTTTGTTCTTGTCTCACAGTGCAAGAATAGATCAGCATGTAATGTAAAAAAAAATGACAAATTCAGAAGCAGTAAAGGGGCAATAACTGTTTTGTTCACTGCTGGTTTAGATTGTGGAGCTTATTGGCACTTGAAAGTCTTCAAGGATTTACTGAGAGCCCAGAGACGCTGTGGGGAACAGGAGCAGTCTGTAGGGCTGGGAGTTTTCAAGACGTTTGCATTTCCACACACTGGGGCCCAGACTGGTCAGCCCAGAATGCTGGGAATCACAGTGGAAGCTTGGAGAAGGGAATAAAATGCTACGATAGTTATCAGCAAGGAATCTGAAYGGGTTCTTATGGCTCTACCACGTTATGTAGGGTGAGGAGATAACTTCTCATAAACCACACGCAGGGTTTGTGTCTCCCAGAAATACGGATCGGTTGCACTAGGAGGGGAAGCATCCGGTTACGTGAACAGCCGCGTGTTCCTGCTGAACCAGGGCCGGGCTTTTGAGAGCAGCCACACGGAGCGACACACGTCGACTGCACTGCTCCCTGCTGGGAGCCTGGCTGCTTCCTGCGGCCACGAGGGAATCCTGGCCGTCTTTCCAGCTGTGTGTGTGCAGCACCCCCCTCACATCCCTAAGGGGAAAACAGGATGGYGAACTGTTTTCGAGGGCGAGCTTTGCTTACTTGCTGTACTGTCTGCTTCTAATCAGGAGGTAGAGTTAACTCTCAGACACAAATCAAAGTAGGAATCATATTAATTCACTATAAAATCAAGGGTTCTTCAAACTTCACAGACATTTTTAGTAATGTAATTCATTTCGCAGACTCTCAACTCTTTCAGTACTAACTTYAGCGTGACAGGCTCACTGGAAGCAAGAGAAGGCAGCGTCTGGGGTTCCCCACCTCACAGCATGGGTATGTCTTTTTTCTCCCAGCAGCCTGAGCTGAGGAGGAGGAAGATTTTGGTCTAAACATCGGGTTTTCTTGGTGTTCCTAGGGAGGCTSTCAGGGTGGATCTCTCTTGCTGCCCCGAGCCAGCTGAGGTGACTGCTGTTAATGCCCCCCAATTTAGTTCTTGCAGTATTTCATACTGAGAGCCTTGGGTGTCTAAGCCAGCATCGCCACAGCGGGCTAAGGAACACGAGCAGAGGAGAAACTTTACCAGCTCATCCCGTCACCTCAGTGGGAATGGAACATGAGAAACACCTCACTGCACCCAGCTCCCCTTCACACCCCACCGCGTGGATGCTGCATCTCACCCCGTTGGTGCAGGCGGGGAGGCGAGCGGGACGGGATCAGGACACTAACGGACTCTCCTGGTGGTGCCCTGCAGGGTCCGGGCTGACCAACGTGAAAACGGAAGAGGTGTCTGAGGTGAAGATGGATGCTGAGTTCCGGCACGACTCGGGCTACGAAGTGCATCATCAGAAGCTGGTGAGTGAACGCGCGGAGCCTCTGCCGGTGCCTTCGGGCTGCTGATGCAGTGTGGGGCTTGTGGGGCAGCTGCGGCCCTGCTTCCCTTGGGCAACGTGCGTGGTGGGGTCAGAATTGCCCCAAAACGCTCACAGGAACAGATGCTGCTGCCTCTGGCCTGCTCCTACGCGGGAGCAAATCCGGAGTGCTCTCAGTGCCAGTAAATCTGGCATCAGCAGCAGGGGTGACAGTCSCTGCCCTCGTGCTTGTACACGCTGTAGAACCCCCCACGGTCAGTCCCTTCTCGTCAGGGATCCCCTAGCTGAGAAGTGGGGACACCGGGAAAGGGCGATGCCTCCTGCTACACAAAGGAAGTCTGGTGGAGACACAGCACGGAGCCGTGGGAAACGGAGGGAATAGAATCCCCCTCTCCCAGAAGGGATGGTGGTGCAGGAAGGAGCCCATCTCTACAGAGCCAAACCTCTCACATCGTTCCCTGCTTGGGATAAGGGGACATTCTCAGTTGTCCTCTAGTTTGTACTTGGTTGTGTCTCTGTGTTCTGTTTCTTTGGGTGTATTATTAGCAGGGGAAGGGCAGATATGAGCAAAATATTATTCCTCTTTTGAATTGTGAATGGTGCGTCTTATGAGAAGCCACAACTAAAAGTGTGAATAAGCATCTTCTAAAGGCCTTTCGCAGTCCCTTAAAAAGTAATGAAAAGCCCATAGAGCAGCGCTTCCYCTTTTGTGAAGGTATATTACATGGTGAGATTTCACTTCTCTGAGTTTCAATACCCTGATATTAAACTTGAAAGCTTTTTTCTTTTAATATATTCTTAAAGCTAAGTAGTGCTGAAAATGAAAATTAGCCTGGGACTCAYATTTGCATTTGAACTAAGCAATCACCGTGTAAAAAGATCCTCCGCCATCTCTTTGATGCTGAGAACTGAGAATTCCCAGTTTGATGAACTAATCCAAAATGCATTAGCACTAATTTGGGAAATGCTGACATGCTTAGCTCAGATGGGCTAAACACCCTGATGGAGGAGACCTGTGTGAGCTCAGCGAGAGGAAGGAACTTGCAGAAAGGAGTTTCCACATAGAGGCACTGACCCTCCTGCGTCACCGATCCCACTGYGTCCCACGTGTTTTGCTGCAGCAGCCTTGGACGCACAAGACTTTGGTGCCATCCTAAGCACTTTGGAGCTGCCAGTTACCCCACCATTGGCTTCCCTGCCCTTCACTCGTGTCACACTTAGTACAAGAGTTGTGGAGCTTTTCAGAGCATTTATGGCACCCTTCTCGCTGATCACCACGGTCGCTACTTAACAATTACTAAGCTGCCACCYTGTTTTATTTTAGGAGCTTTTTCCGCAGTCGAGACTGGACAAGGAACCCAGTAGTATCACTGAAAACGCTGGCATGATCCACTGCAGTTCGTTGCAGGCCTGTTGCGTGGTGCATCCCTCCTGATGCCCTCCGAGTGGACCTGTCAGTGGTGAAATGGGTGCAGCCATTTGTATCAGGGAGCTGTTTTGAATTTTGTGTTCTCCTTGTTCCCAGCCAAAATGGGTTTTGAGGTTAGAATTTGAAGACATCTTCTCCATTAGTTTACGTTCAAAAGCGGCAAGTAGAAAAATACTTTCACACGGATGAAGCAGTCACCATAAGATGTCATTTGGAATTCGGCTGTGCCTTGTATTTTACATGCACATGTCTGAATTTTATGGACATTCATGTTCTAACTATACAGAAAGTTCATTTTCAGCACTCAGCGTGCTGGAGGCCTTCCCCTGTTGCACAGGTATCTTAGCCAGGACGTTTCASAGCTGTAAACCAGTGTGGTAACAGACTTGCACTCCTGGGCAGGTACAGTGGACCCAAGTGGTTACTCCCTCACGTGGCTGCATGCCGACGTTGTGTACCTTGTCTTTAAGTTTTTATCTTTGTTTAAGCATATTGCTTAACTATACATGTTTATATTGTCTGCTTTAATACCTCTCTGAGGAAGATCATGTTTTCTTAAGGAGGGCAGCGGTAGTRCAGCTCATTATAATTCTCAGCAGGTTTCCTGCCTCCCCTTGCCTTTTTGTTAAATATTTTTCAAAGAATTCAGTCTTCCTGAGCGAGCTTGTCCTGCAGTCCCGTGAGTGTAACGTGTTCTGTAATCCATGTTAGCTATTTTGGTCAAAATAATAACAAAAGCCTGTGCCTGGCAAGCTAACAAAACGTTTGTAAAGTATGCCTAGCAATAAGATAATTCAACACACGACCTGAATGCAGCGTGGGACGGTGAAAGCAGCGCCTGCCCATTCCCATGGGATGGTGAAAGCAGCTCCAGCCGCTCCTGTTTCTGGCCCTGGGGAGGCCTCGTGCAGCTCCTGGTGCCCCTGCGCGCACGCAGAGGAGGGTCTGCCRCTTCCCCGGCTCTTGGGTCGGCTCTGGCTCCCATTGGGATCGTGCCGGGCCAGTGGGAGCCCCTCCTGCCTTTGCCCTGTGAAGGCTCCTGAGCCCCTGGCCAGCCGGCCTCCCGCTGGCCGCGCGCCCGTCCCTCCGTGGGGGTTTCTTCCTGTGCCAGTTTCCCTCCTGTCCGGCCGCTTTTCTCCGCTGCTCTGTTGAAGCAGAGCATCACCCTTAGGCCAGCCCAATCTGAGAGATGCCAGGTTGTGAACCATTTTATGATTTACATGCTAGAAAGAAAGAAATGGGTGTGCTTTTGCAATTAACAAAAAACAAACAAACAAAAAAAAAAACCCAACAAAAAAAAACTTGTCACACCCCCAAGACCTGTGCAAGGGGCCGGTTTAAAAGACGCAGATGAGAGTCTTCTCCTTGGGCGCAGAACTGCTGCACTAGAGGCCATAAGGACCTCTCCGTACCACGCCTCTTGCTAGCAGGGCTGGCTCCTGCAGCGGCCCAGCTTGGAGCCGTCGCGGTGCTGCGCAGCGGTGTTTGATGGCGGGTGCTCCCCGACGCTGGGCATGGCCCTGGACGCCGTGTGCAAGGCGAACCCCCAGCACCCCAGGGCTTCATTGGCGCCCCTCTCTCCTCTTCCTTTCGCAGGTGTTCTTCGCCGAAGACGTGGGATCCAACAAAGGTGCCATCATTGGGCTCATGGTGGGAGGAGTCGTCATAGCCACCGTGATCGTCATCACYCTGGTCATGCTGAAGAAGAAGCAGTACACGTCCATTCACCACGGCGTGGTGGAGGTAGGGCGGCCTCCGGAGACACCCCAGCGAGCCCAGAGCCTGGGCCTGCCCCACGCCGCGGTGCCGGGGTGCTGGGAGCGGGGCCACGGCATGGCCTGGGCTGCACACACGGACACGGAGCAAACCAGGTTGTGGGGGATGCACACACACACACACACACACACACACACACGCAAAAAGTTCTGGAATTATCCCGGGTCGGTTATCTTACTGTACTTAATTCTATAGGAAATTTGATAGCAGCCAGTGAGCAGATACTTCACAAGGAGAGAAATCTGGTTTTACTGTTGTTGGGAATTCACACTCGAGGACTTCTTCATGTAGTTGGCAAATGGAGGCGTGAGGCCGGTCTTCTGTGCATTGTACTGAATGCTACAAGGATTTTTCTTATACAGATACKTTATTACTTTTTGTTCTCTGAACAAGATTAACTTTTGTTGCTAGCAGTTTTGATTTATGRCTAACCTGAAACTCATAGAGTTGAAGAAATATATAAAAATTCCACATGAGTTTTTCAAAACTAAAACCAATCTTTCAAGTAAAGCTGTGGTCAATTTACAATAATTTAAAATTGAAGGTTTGTTGCTTGGATTTAAGAAGGAGTCTTTATAAATAGAGAAAAAATATAGATTATGAGAGCTGGAAGGAGGTTCATACGCTTTTTTCTATCCATCCTCTCCCTTACCCAAATGTGTTGAAATCCAGAAGTTTACTGTGGCAATATCTGATTTGCAGGTAGTATATTTTATCRTAGGCAGCACTTCAGGTATTTATGGCTTTTGCCTTCCAAAACCAAGTATTTGCAGTTTTTAATTGAAACTAAACCTTCTTCAAGTCCACAGTTATGCTGATATCACCTTAAGTTAGATGAACCTTGCCCTGGTTGTACTAAGTGAATATGGGGGATGTTTTCTAATGCACATAGTCCATTTTTGGTGGCAGTGAAGAGTAAACCTTTCACTTAGGCCTCCCCAAATCCAGGCTGTGCTTTTTCTCGTGGTTTAAAAACCTCCCAAAAACACAAGATGAGCTCCTAGGGAGAGCTCTTACACACACAGACACACTGTTCTTGCGGTGCAGCCTTAACATTTCTGATAGATTTTTTGAGGAAAATCGGTGTGCCATCTGCAAGAAAGGCATGTCAGAAACTGCTGTGCAGGTTGATGTGTTCGATAACAGATGGAAATATTACAAAAAAGGTCCTACCTTACCTGTCTTCCTGTTTTCCCCAAAAAGTCATCTCTCATAATATTCTCATTCTACTGTGTTTTCTTTTTTAATTTAAGAAAATGTGTTATGAAAAAACCTATTAGCGTTTTTGAAGCTCTGAGGAGAAATACACATTTGCTGTCTTGAAAAAGTGTCACAATAATTTTCTCACTATTTTGACAATCTAAATATTTTGAAGTGATTCATCCTTACCAGGAAAAAACACAGTCACAAGTATGGAGGTAGTTGACTGAGTGGTTGAAATTGCCTGTTACAGGAAGTTTCTTCCTCCATAAGAGCAGGGGGCAAAAGAGACATCCTTGCCATAGCTCCCAGTCCTGGATAGACATCAGGAGTGGGAGGTGTAAAGCTACAGGAAGGCCAAAGGATCGGTACGAAGCTGTTTGAAGGTTACAAAAGCTGTTCTGCCTTTCCCCCACGGCCCTGCTGACGACGGCTCTGGCAGCAGCAGGTGRCRYRCGGTGGCACRCGGTGACACGCGGTGGCACGCGGTRGCACGCGGTGGCACGCGGTGGCACGGTGGTCGCAGCACTGCTGAATCGGCCGCGTCCTCTGGGCGGGCGCTGGGCCTGTTGTGTTGTGCCGGTTGTGCGAGACCTGCCCCGAGCTGGATTCGCCAGCCCCTGCTGCCGTTACGGTGGTGGAATACCCAGCCGAGGGGTGACAGACACGTGGAGATCCTGCCAGAAACGAATCCCCTGCGGATGGCTCCTGCTGGTGCAGCCTTGTCCWGGGAAGGGCCTGCAAGGGCAGCATCCCCTTGGATGCTCGTTTACGCGAGCGAGGGCGGCTCCGTCACTGCTGCCCGCAGGAAAGGGGCTCCGGCCGCAGTGCGAAGCCTTTGGGAGCGAGCGGGAGCTGTGGCTGCGGGCAGGTTACCCACGGAGCAGGCGCTGGGATCGGCGGGGAGAGGCTGCCAAGGGGSCGTGCCGAGGGATTCCCTGGCATCAGCTGGAAATGACCGCGGGTGCCGGTTGGAAGAGCAGCTGGGAGGTAGGAAGGTGTCTGAGGGGAGGCAGGTGCGGCAGGAGAGCCCAGCCGGGGTGGCCGGAGCGCGCGGCCCGTGGGGCACACGGAGCCTGCAGCAAGAGCAGCGCAGGGCGTCGCGCCAGCCGGCCCCATGCTGCTGCTGCTGCTGCTGCTGCTGCTGCTGCTGCTGCTGCTGCGGCGGCGCGGGCAGACCTGGCCGGGCACGTGGGGAGAGCGGGGTGAGCGGCGCCTCTGCCTCCGCCCCACGGATCCGCAGGGCAGGTAGCAGCGTCCCCGCTGCGGGGCATTGCTGGTGCTGGGAGCAGGGCTAGAATGGGCACCGAGCGGCAGCGCTGCTGCTCGGCCCCTCACTGCACGGGGGAGGTAAAGTAAGCTCGCCTGCTGTACTCGGGAGAGTACACTTCCCCTTATCCAAAAGGTTATTTTTATGCTAAAAATACACAGCTGTTTTTGCTAAAGGTCATTGCTTACACAAATCCACATGGAAATGTTCATAACCGGCATGTAAATAGGCTGAGGCACCTTCCTGATTTTAAATTTTTAGCTGTGTAAAATTCACTTTTTACGTTTTCTTCTAAGAACTGCCAAAGAGCTGACAGGCTCCCCAAGCTCGTTTTTTAATAGATAGTTAAGCAGGTAGCCGGCCAGTTCCAGGTTTTGAATTCACTACAGCGATTTAGCTGAAACGGTGGAGGTAAAATACSTGATTAACATTTAGGGACTGTTCTCACCTCCTCTAATTTGATGAAGTTCTGTGATACAGTAATGGTCAGTGAAAGAAGAAAATAATTTGTGAAGCAGCAGGTATTCAGTGGAGAAGTCTCAACTAATTTGTTCTTGTGCCTTTCTTCCAAGTAATTAAGAAAGGTCAGTTTTCGTTAAGTAAAAGCATGTAAGCAGTGCGGAAACTTCAGGCTTTTTGTTGCTGAACAGGATTCAGTATGGGAACTGGAGAAGTTTTGCTTCAATGAGTGGACAGGGATTTTTCCTCACCTTCTGCCCATCCACTCTCTTTTTCCTTTGGTATTCTCATTGTATTTTCATCAGTTATTTAATGGTCCAGAGGCCCATTGCCTTACCTTGGTTCTGCCCGTTACTGTATCCAGTGAATCCGTCCCCACGGATCACTTGTGCCGGGAGCTCTTGTGGGCTCTCGCTCCTCTCCGGGTGCAGCACCGCATGTTGCCTCGTCCCTGAGGCTGCCTGCAGTCCTGCTTCCCTGGGAGAGCAGAGGGTTTGGGACACTTGTCCCCTTGGGCAGCAGTAGAGCATTCAGGTCTGAGGTTTAATGCTCCTGTTAGTGGCGAAGTGTCTGGGCAGGCAGCAGCGGGTCCAGCAGGGCAGGGTCCTGCTGAGCTCCTGCCACTTGGAGCCACCGTTTTATTTTAGATGTCCTTGTGAGAGCGCGACAGAGCTTGGGAACCTGACTTYCTTCCTTCCTTTGGAATGAGAATAATGTAACTGTCCGGAGCTTCAAATCCCGCCTTGCCTTTCAGAGGGTATTTTGTGCCCRAGGTGCACGCAGAGGAGGGCGCCGAGCCCTGGGGCGCCGGTTGCGGCATCGAGCGCTGACCCCGCTGTGTCTCCCGCAGGTGGACGCGGCCGTGACGCCRGAGGAGCGGCACCTTTCCAAGATGCAGCAGAACGGCTACGAGAACCCCACGTACAAGTTCTTCGAGCAAATGCAGAACTAGGAGAGCCCAGCAGCCTCGTGGGACGGAGAGCAGAGCGACTGCTTCCCTGCCCGGCGGTGTCCGCTGACAGAGTAGCCTGGAAGGAAACAAAAACACTCTGTTTTATTATTTACTCATTATCGCCTTTTGACAGCTGTGCTGTAACACAAGTAGATGCCTGAACTTGAATTAATAAAATCAGTAATGTATTTTCTCTCTCTTTCTCTTTACATTTCAGTCTTTACACTACATTATTAATGAATGTTTTTTGTGTACTGTAAAGAGTTTAGCTGTATTTAACTAGTGCATGGGTAGATTCTCTTTCCCAATTATTTATCATGTAGCTCCTTAGCCAGTTGTATATTATTCTTGTGATTTGTGACAAAAATTAAGTCCTAATTGAAATATGCTTTAAGAATTGATGGGGGATGCTTTCGGTGTCTGTGGGGGTTAGCTGCTTCTCTTTGCTGAGCATTTTTTTCTGATCACTATGCATTTTAAAGTAAAACAGCATTTTTTAAAAAGTATTCCAAATGAGTTATTGAAATTTTTTTCCTCTGCAGTTGCATATTATTGTACAGATTGTTGCTCCTGCTGTATTAGTGACGTAGAAATCATGGGAATACACATTTGTTTCTTTGTGCCTGTTTTATGTGCACACTTTAGGCATTGAAAGGTAAACTTTATTTTCTTTTCCATGTATCTTTTTTGATCTTAAAAAATATTAAAAAAGAATCCCTGTTAATTGTGAGCACTTCTGGGGGGGAAAAGTGCCTGCTGGATGAAAATTAACGGGGATCTTCTGCAGGATGATTGTACAGAACCATTGCTTATGAATTGATAGCTTTCTACACTGTGTTACATAAATAAATTAAAGAAAAAACCTTCGGGCAAGTGTTTTCTTTGCAGGCAGAAGAGCAGTTTGAGAAGGGAAATCGTGGGCCGTGCCCGCCGGGCCAGCGAGGGGCAGGAGCAGATGTCCTTGCATGGGAACGATGCTCGCGGCTCCACCGCCGTGGAGCGAAAGTAGCAACGTGGGGCGGGAATGAGGCCCGTGCTAGCTTGGGCACAAATGTTTTGTCTGTTGTTTGCTTGTCTGTAATAGTGTTTTGATGTGGGTAAATCCATTCCTGGAGGAGCCCAAAACTGTCATCTCCCACTAGGGCCCCCTACCTCATTCCTGAGGCCTGGGTGCTCATCGCAGAGCCCCGTGTTGCGGCTCAGCACCCACAGCGAGCTGTGCCGGGGCCTTTGCTCACGTTGTGACGGCCCTTGGTGTCTGTCACTGTCTTCCAAAGAACTYGCAGAATGTGCCCAGGCAGTGTCTGAGCTCTGCTTTCCAAACTGGGCTCTTGGGGCCGTAGAGATGGACAAACGGTGGTGGGCAGAGGACCTCACAAGCTCCACAGGAACCTGCATCTTTCTGCTTCCATACAAATACCCGGGGGTAGGTTCATTCCCTTGTGCCCATTACTGTCGCTCTTGTTTTGGAGGTCATGTGTACAAAGGAGGTTATAGGGCCCCTTCTGTGCACATGTCCAGTGCGACAGCAGAAGATCCCGCGTAAGCAGGACGTAATTCAATTTAGTGCAGTCTCATTAAAGGAGCATTATTGAAATTCCATTTAGGAGAAGCTAAAGTAATCTGTAAAATACAGGTAGCCACTAGCCTTTAGAGAAAATCCCATTTATAATCCCCTAATCCCATGCAATCCCAGTTATTAAAAAAAATGCAATGGCTTTCAATGATAATTCGTGGATTTACAGTGAGTCTTTATGGGGCTATTTGTGTGGTGAGACACCTGTGCTGCTCTTGCTACTCATGGACCAACTTTTAATTAACTGGACAGTTTTACTGCTCTGATTAAGTGATCAGTTTTTACAATTTTACTCCAGGTATGCTCCCTCTAAGAAGGAGAAAGCAAATAGACACTTGCACATGCACACGAAGCACAAGATGCAAGTAAAAGTTCCCAAAACTTCAGTATTCCCAGAGTTGTTGCTCCCCCGAAAGCTGCCTAGACATTTACCACAGTTCGCAGGTAACAGCAGCAGCCTCCTGCCTGTCTAGCCATGCAGGCTCCTTGTTGTGTAGAGGTTGCATTAGAAGGGAATAAAAGCAGTTTGACAGGCCCCAAGGCAGGGAGGCCAATTTAGGGAGGTCACTGAGCACCCTGCTGGCGAGGGCAGAGTTGGTGCCTCAGCAGCCCCGCAGGCAGCAGCTCGGCGCCTGCTAGGGGGGAAAGGAAATAAAAGAGCCCGTAGGCTTAACAGGAGGAGTCCCCTCGTCTGGGTTGGTTGTGACGGAAGAGGGTCCGGGTGCACTCGGGAGGGTGGAACCTCGGCGAGGATGAGGACGGTCTCTGGCAGCAGGAACCCCTGCCGGCCCTGCTGCCCTTGGAGGCTTTGCGGGAGGGCGTGAGGAGCCCAGGCCCATCCTTCCTCCTCCCCTTCCAGAAGCTCCTGGAAAAAATGCCCTTTGTTGCTCACATTGGCTGCCTCTCGCTAGATTAACCAGTATCAGATTCGCAGCAATGCTTCACGCGTGTCAGGCACGTGATGGATGAGGTGTCCTGAAAAATATCTATATTCGTGCTCATCTCTGTGCTTCATTCCTGCCTCTTCCTAAATGTCCTTCCTCAGCTATGAGGGGGCCTAGGAAAAACAAACCCTGGCCGGGTGCTGCCCTTTATGGAGAAAGATTTGCAGCACCTATACATTCCATTAGGTCTGTCATGATGCTCGTGMAGCTCCGAACTCTCCATCCTCATTATATGTGCACTTACCAAAGCAATTTCAGTGCCATTGCTATTGGCCTAACTGCTCATCTTTATTGTTTAAACTAATGGGTTTTGTGGGCGGTGGGTAACTCGCTGTTAAAATGCCTCTAGGCAGCAAGATTGCAAATATCCTAATGACATATGAGAATAGATTACAAAGAGCACTKTGCCCGGCACCCTGGTGTTGACAGCATGAAGCTAGTAAATTAAAATATAAATATTGTTTTCTATTCCTGCACGATCTTTTTCACCACTCACAAAAGGGAGAACCTTGGTTCTGTGAGAAAAGGAGGCTGCTCTGCCTTGCCGCTTCCCCATTCTGCTTCTCTTTTCTACCTTCTTCCCAAAAGAAGCACACACTAAATCTTTCCTGCAGCTTTCTATAGCTCTGAGAAAATTATCTGACTGACTATACAGAAAAATCTTTTAAGCTTCCAGGTAGAAGACTTGGGTTTTATTTAGAGATAATAAAATATTCCGGCTTTAGTGGGATTCTTAGTTAAAGTAGAGTTGAATTTAGACACGGAGTTGGAGACCGAGTCCTTCTTTGCCTGCTGTGGATAGCTCAGCTGGAGAGAAGCAGCCTGCTCGGTATGAGGGATCTCACCTGGACAGACAGGTAGGCACCTGTTTTGTAAAGAGCTGCTATAAAAAAATAATATAAAAAAGAAGAAAAGGAAAAAGGAAAAGGACACAGGCCGCCCCACAGGGTAGGGTTCCCTCACTAGGGGCCGAGCAGCTGCTGCAGGAGGAAGGTCCTTGAAATAGCTGCCCCACTGCTGCTGGTCCGGTAATTACAGCTGCTATGAAAAGGACAAAATCCCACAAAATTGCCCCATGTAATTCCCTGGAAAGAATTAAAGGAAAAGCTGCCCCCTCCTCCAGCCCCTGCACAGAGATATGAGCAAGTGCAGGCAGTGGCCAAGGCTGTTCCCCACGGGGCTGACAGGAGAGAAGAAAGCTCCTGCAACGTTTCCATTTCTAAACTCCTTGAAAAATAATCCTTGAATGAATAAGTGTGGAAGAAATTGTTCTTATTTTCCTTTTAACCAGCTTGGCCATCAATCTGTTTCATTGAAAAAAAAAAAAAAAAGAAAAAAGAAAAAAAAAGGCGAGGAGGGAAGGAACACGCATTTCCATGCGTATTTTTGCCAGGTCTACCTTTCAACAGGCCCTTGCATAGGCAGCAGGGATGCGAGCCCCRGCGCTGCAGGTCGCACTGCGGGCATGCGGATGGCGCGGGAGCAGCTCGGAGGGGCCCGTGGGGCCCTGGCCGAGGCTCCCACCACCCTGAAACAGCCCCAGAGGGCAGAGGGGGCTACAATGGGGCGCCTGTGTGAGCCTGCCCTGCGGTGCTACCGCACGCTTGCCCGCGGTGCTGCCTGGGCCACTCGCTCGCCAACAGCCAGGGCCGCCGCTGCAACCAACAGCCAGGGCCACCCCCGTGACCAACGGCCATGGCCGCCCCTGTGACCAACAGCCAGGGCCACCCCCGTGACCAACGGCCATGGCCGCCCCCGTGACCAACGGCCATGGCCGCCCCCGTGACCAACGGCCAGGGCCACCCCCGTGACCAACAGCCATGGCCACCCCCGTGACCAACAGCCATGGCCGCCCCTGTGACCAACGGCCAGGGCCACCCCCGTGACCAACAGCCAGGGCCACCCCCGTGACCAACAGCCATGACTGCCCCTGTGACCAACGGCCATGGCCGCCCCCGTGACCAACAGCCATGGCCGCCCCTGTGACCAACGGCCAGGGCCACCCCCGTGACCAACGGCCAGGACTGCCACTGCGACCAACAGCCATGGCCGGCCCTGCGACCAACGGCCATGGCCGCCCCTGCACCGCTCTCTGTGGGAAGACGTCGCCCCTCCTGCCCACGACCCAGCCTGGTTACCACCAAGGCAGTGTCTCCACGTAGCCCCAGCTGCTCCTCGGCTCCTGCCCTGGGCTGCTGGCCACAGGGGGAGATCTCTTGGAAAAGGCAACACCGCCCAACTCCTCTGCGGAAGGCGCTTTATTTGGGGCTCCTGCAAGTTGTTGTGACCCTTGTAGAGATGCTGCGTGAATCTTCCAAGAGGAGGCAGGTACAAGAGGCCCGTGGGATCCCACAGGCTTCATCGCTTAGAGGACGGCAGCTGCAAAGCTCAGGTTGACCTGAGTAGGATGGCTTGSGCTTTACCCTGGCCTGCAGTTAGCCCAGCCTGGTCAGGAATATCAGTTGTACCCGTTACCTAACGCTGTTACAATAGTTTGTCTTCTGAAGACAAATGTCAAGCTAGCACTCCTGGCATTAAAAAAACTGCATTGCCAAGGCATTTTGCTGGGTTTTGGCAAACGCATTGCTAGAAAATCTACCATAAATATTTGCTGTCTGCCAAAATGCATCAGAAAAAATAGGAGCCAACAGCCTGTATTTTGCAAAGCCTAAATTAAAATGAAACTGTGTATTCAGTACCTCAATACAGCTGTGATCCTTAGAAGACCCCATAAATGAACAAGAAATCATTAGGASCTGGCCTAATGACTGACAAGCAAAACTAGCAAAGAACAAGAACTGCTTTCCTTCAAGGAAGGATGGCAAGCCTACATCTACCTTTGGCCAAGGACAGAGTCTTATAAACACATTTCTAGCCTGGTCTAGTGAGGGCACCTGCTGCCAGCTCTGTGGATGCTGGATCATGCTGAAGGTGCCCACAGACCAACTTGTGCAGAGAGACGGAAACACCTGGCACCATAAAGTTTCATCATGATCACAATTCCGCTTGAGATTTGTAGTTTATCCACAAACAGCCCACCTGACCCTCTTATATACAAGCTCCATTAAGCGGGGACCAGATCCCATCTTCCAAAGATATTAGGATCGCCAGTGGAGACTACTTTCAAAGAAAGTTGGTTGCAAAAAGCTTAAGCTAACGTAAGTTT